CGAGGCCCGGCTGCCCACGCGTGCCGGGAAAATAAACCATCGGCCGGGGAAATGCCCGCGGTTGTGCCCTGGCCTTCAGCGGGAGGCGTCTGAGCCTCTCTCCAGCTTCTCCCCCGAAACCTGGAGGTGAATTAGGCGCGAACCGTGGGCGCATCCGGGGAGCAAAGGGTCTGGCTCTCTCTGACCGCACTCTGCCGAAGTTTTAACTCTTCCTTTAATTTGAGTAAGAGTTTACACGAGGGCGTTTCTGCCACCGAACTGGACCGTGTGCAGTATTTGCAGTGGAACAGTTAAAGTGAGGGAAAAACCAAGTCCAGAAGTAGGCGCTTGTTTATAAATACGCAGCCAGTATAAGATGGTATCCCTGCTTCACCTCTGCATCAGATAAATTTGCTTCTACTCAGATGGAGTCTGTGCAGATGTTTTACTGGCTTAACTACAAATGCCATAATGATTGAAATAACGATTCAACTTCGGTTTTGGACTCTCCACAGAATTTAACCTTGTTTGTGTCTTCCTGTGCCTGATGCTCAGCAATGATGGGCGATACAGTCTGACGCTTTCACAGTACTGGTAGAGGTTTGCCAGCACTAAGAATCCTGAAACTATTAAACCAGTATTTCCCTGGTTCGTTGGGGGTGGTTGATGACTTAACTTTAATGTATGAGGACAAGTCTGCCTCTCCTGTTCCCCTGCCACAACCTCTTTAGAAAACTGATCTTATTGAAATACTTCTTCCTTTCCCACCTTCTTGGGATAAAGGCCCTCTACATAGTCCTCTGAATGCCACACACCTCACAAGGTCTGTCACTTTCCTGGAAGGGAGGAAGACAAGCATTGTTTTGAGGAAAGGATGAGTTGCCTCAGCCCATTATCTTTTCAGTTCTGAAGAGAAGAGGCTGTGCAACCATCCCTGCTGCAGAGAGAGAGGCAAAAATACGGTGATGTTAGTTACTGTGTAGCCTATTCTATATGTGCAGTGACAGCACAAGCATATTGGAATTTAATATCATACTCTTGCAAACAGACTTTTTTTTCATGTAGTGCCAAACATAAGCAGCCCCCACTGGATTAGTTCTGCAACGTCTTCTCAGCTGTGCTGAACTCACGTGTGTAGAATTACACAATGAACCGATTTGTCTTGGAAGGGATTTATTTTTTTACTCAGATCAGTGGCCTGACCCAGTTCTCAAGCAGAGAGCTATACTAGTATGGTTGAGGGAACAAGTGACTGGGCGTAGGGACTACTTCAGTTGCCTCTATCTGAGAGAGACATTCATATGGCCAGAGCTGTAGCATGTGTTGGTGTGTACTTAGAACTGTGATGCTACTTGAAAAATACTGTGTAGTACCTGTGCTTCAGTTACCACTATTAGTAAATAAAAAAATTAGTAAATAAAAAAAGCAAGTATTCCTGGTTTCACTGAAGTGATACTATAAATTTGACTTTGATTAGTGCAGTTTTTCTGGACATACCAGATGTCAGAGCTGATGTTTGCACAAAATTTGTGCTGAAATAGGCAGACTGTAAGTAAATGTGTTTCTTTTGATGCAAGGCCTTCATGGACTTCAGAATACATGCAATAAAGTGCCTTACTTTCTATTGCAGTAATTGAACTAGGTTGGTGAAATTAAGTTTTCTATCTTGTATATTGAGGTGCAAGCTGAATTATATGATATTATTTTGGAAAATATTCTGCTATACTGGACACTAGTCTTCTAAAAACACTGTGCCAATTATGCTTAGGTTGAGATGGTTCTGACATCAAAGTGCTGGAATAGTTGATCTTTGTTTTAGGATGCTTCTGAAATGCAGGAAAAAACAGTATGGAGTGTTTATCACTTATAACTGACTCTTTTGAGCTGGGTATTTACTAAAGTCTTAAAAGTCACCCTGACAAACTCCTTGAGTAACCAGTCTTTGTCCTACCTAACAAATAGATTTCAGTTTCTATTCATGTTATTTCTCCTCAGTAAAACAAACATACAACTCTTTCAAGAGAAAACTTGCAGCCTGACATGATTAATTGCTGTGGTCTACTATTATTGTGTAAGATGGAGGATTTGAAGCAGTAGTCAGAACTGGCAAGAACTGGACAGCACAGCCATTACTGAGATCTAGCAGGAACCAGTGCACCTGAACACAGCTTCTTTAGGCTGTTCTGATGCTATGCATCAATTACCCCCCCTAATTCAGCTTCAGATCAGAAGTTCTTGCATGGTTCCACCTAAGTAAGAGACTGCTCAAAGTTACACATCTTGCTGCTGCTGAAGCACCCATGGGGACCCACAGTAACATAGGCTTGCCTCCTTAATTTTAGGATTCTGGGCAAGGGGACCACCTGGGACAGCTGTGCTGGTGATTGTATCACCAAGATACACAAGGCCGATGGACTCCTATGGTTTTTGGGGGAACATCCCAGAAGGAAACTTCTTGCCAGTTAAATTGGTACATTCCTTCTCTCATTTGAATGAGTGCAGATAAAAGCTAAACATACGCAGTTTTGCAACCTGGTGAACTGCATGGCATTATATACCAGCGTACCAATAAGATGGTCAGTCAGAGAGTATGTTAAATAGATAAACCCGGCATGGAGGCAAGCAATTCTGTCTGGGATCTAAGCTTATATAATACTTTATAAATAGTCTTCAAACTTGTAGGATGGGAATCAGTCTGATAGACACTTACATTGCTTCATTTCTGCTGTTAATTATGCAATGAATTAAGGATTTATCTGGCATCTCTTAATAAATGAAATGAAAAATCTGTCTCTTAAGATTCTTGGATAAAATCTTCACTGAAAGATAACTTTATAGTAGCACTGTGGCATACTGTTCTCCCCAGCAATTCTGAATTCACCATCAGTTACAGTCCAGCAGCGGCTAACAAGGTTGCATTTTCTTCTGAAAAGCAGCATAGCTGAAGAAGATTGGAGGATTTATAACTCTTAAGATTGAAGGAGATTGTACATAGACGTCAATTTTCCTTTGTAGCTTAGGGTTGTGTAGTTCAGTCACTCAGAAGTAGATGGTCACTATGGCAAACTAAAATTTACTAACCAACTACAAACTTTTATTCGGAAGCCTCTAGGTGGCTTGTATGCTTTAATATTCACAGTATTTTCTGAAAAACTCCTTAACACGAGCATGTAACAACAAAAGAAAGAGCTGCCATTTCTTAAGGTTTGAAGTGCAGTTTGTGTCGAGAGAATAGAACAAGTTGTGTTAATTTAGGGAGGCAATTTTGGAATATGTAGCTGCTGTATCACCACGGTATTTTCAAAGAAAAATAGTATTTGTATGCATGGTGATTTCATAATGAATGGGTAGAAGATGCTGCTTTGAATAAAAAAAAATTGTTTATTCTCATTTGACCTGTTAATGTAATGAAATAGTACCTGCGTTATAAAATACGGTAGCGGTTGACTGTCACCCATTTGTTTTAGGTGTTTATGAAGTGATTTGGGGAGAAATAGCTTGTAAAGTTGATCCTGATTAGATACTATTTTTAAAAAAATTGAAGTTGCAGTGTAGCTCCTCTTTATAGCAGGTTAACTGTAGCAGGGCTTATAGCTGGCATTCATTTTGTGAATTAAGGGTATTTATGAAGAGCTAACAATATCTTATGAGAACTGATGAGGCAGAAAATAGTAATTTACATGTTATAATTTGGGCCTTAGCAGTTCAGGAACTGCAATATTAAAATAATGGAAGAAGCTGGGGCAGACAGGTCAGATTCATATATTTTCTTTATTAAGTCTGCATTTCATAAACCAGGATACAATAGTACTTCCTTGTGTAAGTCCATTAAAAAAATCTAATATTATTGCATATGGTGTTTGCAGAGCAGCTCACTTGCTAGTTAACAGTTTTTAATTAAAATACGAGAATAAATAGAGCGTTATTATTGATCTAAAATTAATCTCCAAATATTTTAGGCCTAAAAGTAACAACTATAAAAAAATGAAACAAAAACTTTGGAGTCACTTTATTTGCAGTGTTGTACTAAGTATTTAAATTATTTTACTACATTAAAGACTAATGAGACTTGTAATCAATTTTTTGTTGCCTGTGTTACCTTAAGCCTAAAAAGAAGTTGGCAATAATTGAGCGATTGAGTCCACAAATCTCCTTCAAGACTTTTTAAATAGATGCTTTCTTCAAACCTGTTAGCTATAGATATCAGCAGTTAGAATTTCAGAGCTTATATAGTACCGCATTTATATTGTAGGAATACATGTAAAATAGCAGTGTGTTGAAAATGTATGCCCCAAGGCATAAATTCCAGAGGTAGAAATGTGTGAAGTCTCAATGAGGAAGAATGCTTCCCAGTCTACCGTTGTCTGTTAAAGAGTCTAAAGTTTTACAGGAAACAATATTTCTGATTCTAAAAGATTGTTTTAAGCTAAATGTATTAAATAAATCTATATGCGTTCCATATTTTGTGTATGCTTTCAAATTACTTATTCCATTGATTTTAAGCCCTACGGGCTCTGATAATCCAAACTGCCAGGGAACTCACTGGTAAGAGAAAAGAAGCCTGAAACATCTCTTCTTGTCAATCAGTCTTTTATGGAGATTCCTTAACAATTTACTACTTTACTTGTAGTTCCCTATAATGATAAAAAACTACCCAGATGAACTCCGTGATGGGGAATAGCAATCATCTGGGTAGAGTCTGGTCCTGAGCCACACCCTTTGCCTGCTATATATTTAGGCTCTATGAGGTACTTTCTTCTTCTAAAATGGCTGCTACCCCTGGAGGTAGTGATACCAACCAGGTATGTGTTTTCTCAGTTTCTTTTTAATAAAACTGAAATATTAGTTTTTTTCAACAGAAGTCAAATTTGGGTGTACAGTAGTGCTTTTTTTAAAGCGGAAGCTTCCACTGCTGATTTTACACATTTAGAAAGATTTTATGGTTGTATTGCGGTCAGACAATAAAATAAGGTTACAAAACAGACCTTTTGGAACTTTGTATTAAATTTTAATCTGTTTCTTGCTGGATAATTTTTTTAGTGAAATTACAGTTGCTGTTCTAAATTTATGAGAAGGTGGAGGATGCAGTATGTCCCTTGACTTCAACTTGAATGCTTGACTTCAAGCCCTTGGTGCTTTTCTGTCTTTCTACATTGGACACTATGTAGCTGAGTTGATAATTTTAACTATAGGAATACTTTGGGTTGGGTTTGTGATGATTAATTGAAAAAAAAGTTCTAATTATACATCTGTCTTGAGTCACTGTATTCCATTGTAGTGGAAGTTTATTTTGAAGTGTGTATTAGTGAAGATGCCCAACTAAGGGAGAAATAAACTTTTTTTCATGATTCAGAGATGAGAAACGTGGTGCAGTGTCTGTGCAACTATGTTTAACTAGTGATTTTTTTAAGTAGTGGTTTGTTGTTTTAACTAGGGCTTTGTTTTCTCAATTTCTAAAAATTTCTAGATCAACAAATACTCTAACAGAGGAGCTGCTGAGAAAGTAATTTAAGTGTATTACTTTTTTGTAGTTGAAACTTCTAAGAGCTATCTGTATTTAAAAACTTATATATCTCTTTTCCCTTTTAGGATATCCGGAAGTTCTTTGGTGTTGTACCTTCTGGCAAACGACAAGAATGTGAGGCTATGAAAAAGAGTGAAAAGATTAAAAATGGTGAAGGTCCCTCAAGTGGGAAGAAAAGGGGAAAGGAGGCTAAGGTTAGTTTTGTTTTTCTTATTTATGAAGTGCTTGGTTTCTCTGATGTAGGATTGCTTGTATTGCTAGCGTTTCTTAAAGTACTAGTTCTTGTATGCTCAAAACCCAGGCTATATGTGAGTTGGTTTTATATGAAAGTATCACTTACTATTAAATTCTATCAGCAGAACTTTGTAGGTGGTGAAGAAAATTGCTAATTATCAAAACGTTTGGGTTGTAGGGCAGAGGAGTGGTAGGTAGAAGTTACAATGGTTAGGTGCTAATGTAGGCACAGTTTGATGTATTTGAAGTTATTTTAGCTATGGCCTGTGGTTCTTCAAGTAGCTCTGTTTATTTAATTTGTAATTGAATTAAGATTAAGGATTAGGTACAGTAGATGTAGACGTATAATAAAGATGTCATGCTTACTTGGAAGTAAGATAAGTGTCTGTGGTGTAGGTGCCCTCTGACCATTTCTTTAACCAGGTGTTTAAACACCTGTGAGGGAACCATTAACACTGCCTTTCTTGGATGTGGTGACTTATGTCAACCTGTTGCAAAGACCAAATTCTGTAAAATGACAGGTTAAAATTAGATTGCGTTCTAGTCTCAGAGGACTTTTCATGTTAATCATCTGAACTGGTATAAAAAAGAAAGGAGTGTCTAAAGAGGGCTTTAAAATCATGTAGAGAATGGAAGGATTCTGATAGGATGGAATATTAATATGAAGCATCACAATGAAGAAATAAGATGCTACTGAAAAAAAATATTTTGGCTGTATAGTTTCATTGTCCAATGTGAAAATGAAGGACCATTCAACAACTGAAAGACATAGTAATTATCTTATGATCTATTATTTTTACTTTGCAATTCTCCAATTACATGAAGGATTTCACAGGTTTCAGATTAGAATTGAATGTGGGTTATAAAATATGTGCAGTTATGTTTATCTAGAATTATATTTTTATAAGCATTTGCAGCTGTGCATGACTACAAAACAACCATAGTTAGTAGTTTGGTTGGCCCAGGAAACTTCCTACCTGTGCAAGCTGTGATTCTTGTAAATATCTAAAAGTTGTCAATGTTTTTTAAAAAAAAATAAATTCCTTGAGACATTTTAATAGTAGCTGCTGCTAGACAGAACATGTTTGTTGACTGTGACCTTTGGTGCAGTCTCTTACTGTAATTGCACAGCTTCATGGGTCAGAGGAGAAGCTGCAAGAAACCAGGACGTGGAACAGGAAATCAGTCTAGCTTCAGCTGTTGTGTATGCTTTTTTCCTTTTTCAATTATCTATGTTTTACTCTGAAATTGTGTTGAATTCTGGTGGTTACAGTGAAGCTGTATCCAGAATGAAACCAAAAGTGAAAGCTGAATTCCATACAACTTACTGGCCTGTACGACCTCTGTTTCTGGTGGGATCATGCAATTTCTTTTTTGGATTAAAAGTTGGAAGTGCTCAAAAATCTATTTGATTTACTTTAATTGGTGTTAAACTTTAATATTTATTCTCAACATAATAATCTATGGTTTGCTTGGAGCACGTTTAACTTTATTGCTGCAGTTTCTTCCTTATTTCCTCTGCCCCACACCTTTGCCCCTCCCACCCATGAGTTAGCAGAAGACTGTTCATAAATGCAACATTGCGAAATTAAAAATTTCTGTTAGAATTTGAAACTCATAAATTTGAATGTGTAACTGAGTAAAAGCTGGAAGTACCTGTTTACTGGTTGAACTAAGGTACTCTTACTCTTAGGTGAATAATTCACCCAGTGAAGATGATTCCAAACAAAAGCGGACAAACAAGAAAAGAAGAATAATCTACGATTCAGGTAGGGTTCACAGTTGTTTCTGAATGCTCCTGTGTATCTTTTTGCATCAGCATTCAAGATCAATTAGGTAACTGTAACATCTGAAGGAAAGCTGTGGTTTGTTTGGTTTTTCAGTAAATGCAATTAAAAACATTTTTCCCAGTAATTATTGCTGGATAGCTAAATATAATTGATAATAATAAGAGTGCAGTGTGTACCATGCATGTAATATGCACTGCAAAGTAACTTTTAACAAAACCTCTGTTAAAAAAACCCCCACAAACCCAAAAACACAAACAAAACCAAAAAAACCCCACAACAACAAAAGAAGTTATCCTTACCAGAAAAAGAAGTCCAGATACTAAATTCTATCAAAACTCCAGAACTTTTTTTGGTTATGAAGATTTATATAAATGATGTTTCCTGTTCTGCTAGGGATAAATAATATCCTGTGCTGGGTACAGGAGGCTGATCATATGCTATAATTTCACATTTCTGTGCGTTGCACGAACATAATATAGGAGATTGTTTTAAAAGGCTAACTTGTGTTTCCATATGACTTTCTCTGACTTTCTCTATTAAAAAAATCTAGTAAATGTTCATCCCATAGTTTAAAATTTACAGTGTGGAACATGTAGAATATAATTCAAAGCACTGCTATCACATTCTAAAAATATTTTTTGGAATACTATAATAAGAGAAACTGCTCTTATAGAACTTAAATCTTAAAAAAAAAAAAAAAAAATCCTGAACAGCAAAAAGCAACCCCCCAAAGAAAAAAAAAAACCAAAACAAACCCTTGCCTGTCAAGTTAAGTTAGTTTAATTTAAAGGCTTGAAATTTCTAGTTTAATCTTTCTGAGCTGTTATATCATTTTAGCCCTCTTGGATTAGGTTTGGAATCTTGATTAGTTATGAAACTGGAAAAGACTGCAGGAGTTTCCACAATTTTTGACTCCTACCAAAGGCTTCAGCTTGAATTTTTAGAAGCAATCTTCTTAACAATAGAAGATTCCTTCTTTTGTAGATGAAAAATGATCACATAGACATCTGTCAGAATAATGCTATTGTATATAGAAAAACGTGTTCAAATCTTCAGATAAACTGTTCTATAAACAGTTCCTGTTTAGCAGTGAGAAATAGCAGTAGAAATATTTCTGCATTAAAAAGTGGAGTACAAAAGCAATATATAACTCAACTGCTATCTTTAAAGTGCTGATATTTTCTGGAGATTTTGCAAATTCTAGCCCATTAGTAGTTGGAGCGCAAAAAAAGAAATAATGCTCCTTTTTTTGGGGGGGAAGGAGGGATCACACAATCAAGACAATTGACTATAGTGGCTTGCCTTTTTTCTTCTTAATAATTACAATATATATTAGTGTTTGTCATGGAAAAAGGTAGGCTCTGAAGGGTAGTCCACTGTGACAGTTGCTAGTTGTCTCTGCTGCTTCAGTTTGTCCTGATTAATCGTCTGGATTTTGGGTTACATAATCCACAGTGGTGTTAGTTTAGCATCTTGACAACTTTTGGGATACAGAGAATGATTGTTGAGGTGAGTTGCAGTCTACCACTGTTCTGAAAAATCAGAGTGCAGTCTATTTTAGCGTTAGTGTTTGGAACAGGTGTTGTGGAATACAACAACAAATTTATATAGCATATAAATTTAATCAGGCTAATGAATCTATATTAAAAGTTTGTTGTGATTTTTTGGGGGGGTTTGTTTGTTTAATTTTAGTAATCTGATGTAGTACTCTGACAGTTGCATTTGTTTTCGGAAAGGTTTTTATACAGGCTTAGCAGTTCTTGGAATAAGTAAGAAAATATTTCTTGTTAGGTAAACAAAAACCTCTGTCAGAACTGAGTTCTGACCAAGTTTTCATTTAGTCATGTATATGCTGGAATAAATGATGGCTAGGCTATTAGCTGATGGAGAGAAACAAGGCTGTACTCTGACCTTGCATATGATATGTTTTCCTCACTCAGTTGAATATATGTGAACACATGTTAACTGACGTTATGTGATCTGTAAAGCCTGTATCTATGTGGAGAAAACCTACATTTATTTTGTGGTTGAAATACAGACTCAGAAGAGGAGTTGCAGTCAGTGAAAAAATCCCAGAAGCCGTCTGAGAAAAAAACAACTACTTCAAAACTTGGTAAAGTTCTAAAGCAGGATCCTGTTGTTTATATTTCAGAGACAGGTAATGGAAGAAATATATTATTATATGTTCAGCTGTAGTGGGATGGATTACGTTACAGATGGGATGGCTTGTTTGACTGATACACTCTTAAATATGACCATGAAACCTAATACTGAGAAAGACAAATTATATGCTCCCTAAACAAGCTAACGAAAAGCGCTTTAGTCAGGAGCAGGGTAAAACTGAGGTGATGCTGGGTAATGGCTTAGGTTGATTTAAATATGCATATAATTTCATGAGCTAATGCTTACATGCTTAAGAGCATTCCATAGATTTTGGGGAAGGAGTTAAGTAAAGGAAGTGTTTTTAATATAGTTAAACTGCTTACCAGCACACTTTGTGAAGTGACTGTTGGTTACCATAAATAGCTTTGAAAACCTTTATTTTTATCTTACTCAGTATATGACTTTCCATGTCTTTAATCTCTGGCTAATATGTTGGCAACTGCAAAAGTTCTTGGGTTTTGTGTTTTACTTATCAACATAAACAATTTTTTTTGAAAAAACATTATTTGTCTATTAGACTTTTATAAAGAACTGGCATTGTAAAAAACAATCCTAACAAAAACTTTTATTATGCCTTGTGTATACCGTACTATATGATATGATACTTCTCAGTTGTGGATTTCAGCTTTCTAAATGCTGGAGCTATTTTTGCTTTTGGGGAAAGGAGCAAGTGTAATTAACCATTCTTGATCATTTTCAAGTCTCCTTTAGCCTTCTGAAAAAATGGTGACAGTGATTAACTGCTAAGTTCTCAGAGGAGTTTTGTTTAGTTTTAGTCTCTTCTTTAGAAGATGTATAGTTAAACTAAAAACACAATCATAACTCAAGTACATAAGTACCATTCAACTGAACAGATAAGAGCAAGTGCTATTGGTTTGATTGAAGAGTTTTATGCATTGATTTGTTTTCATAGTTTGCATGGCAGTTGTTCCTTAGTACTGCTTTCAGTGTTGCTTTTTGTGTGATTCCTGACCGTGGTGCTCTCAAGAGGAGTTTGACTGTAAATTTACAGGGGAAATGTTCATATACTGTTATGGAAGTTTTATTCTGCATAATTCTCATTAAACATGTTTCCTTCCCAGCTCCAAAACAAAAACTGATAGTGGTATTCTGCTGCCTGCCCCTCCACCCCCCACCTCCACTTTAATTCTATTGTGAAGCAGTTTTGTTTCCAATTGCTTATTTCATATTGTGCATTTTCTTCTACTACTTTACATACTTCTTTACATACTATGTTATGTAAAAGTTTCAGTGGCCTTAGCTACTATGGTTTGATAGGTGAACATCAGTTTGTGTAGACTCAGTCGTATTTATAAATCAAGCATCCTTAAAGGTATGCCACCAGTATAGGGGAAAATACTCAGGTTTTGTACATTCTGTAAAAATGCATCTGTAGAAGAAAATTAACAGAGCTTCTAGTGTTTAGCTTAATATTTGAGTGCTTCATGAAGGTGGACTTTAACACTACTTTTCCAGCATCTGAGAACAGTTGGCTGAATGTGTACGCACGTGCATTTTTTGTTATGTAGAGTTGTGTGTTTTTTTAAAATAGATTTGAAATACATGTGCGTGCTGGCAACTTCAGGGCAGCTTTTTCTACTGGTTGTTGTCTTATTCTGTCTTAACTAAGAGATCTGTTAGTGGCACTTAAGCAAAGATTAAGACTATATGTGGGCAGAAAGAATTCACTTATTAAGATTCTGATGATAGGATGAATTTGATTCCTGTCTTACTGAATGACATAGATTGGAAACATCTTAAATTTGGCTCAGTGAATTTAATAAATTAGAAGCTTTTGAATGGTCTACTGTTCAGAGCTGATACCTTCCCAGCTTAAATCTCTTGTCATGTTAGGTTCATTCGTTTCTGATTTGCTTTTAAAACATAAATGTTTCTTTCTGCATTGGATCTATTGTAACTTCACATTGATTTGTTATAATGCAGATAAACTTGGGTATTTTGATATCAGATATTGGTTACCATCCTCTGATCACCTGTGCAACACGAGCTGTAGAATTTTCTGAGACTTGCAACGGTAGGTGGACACATTTCGGCTGAAAAGGTTTTACTTATAGTTTGTGGTGCATCTCCCTCTATTGACTGTGACTGAAGCTCCAAGTGAGAAAGACTTAGGCTTTATGTCAGTTCCTGCTGTGGTTAGATGTGCTTACTGCATTCAGTCTGAGTTCAGCTGAGGCTGTAACTATCAGGTCGTCTGTATTTGTCTCTTAGAGTTCTTTCCTAGCCACAGGAATTCCCCTGTGTGGATTCTTAGAAACTGTGATAAAATTAACAGATTTCAATCCAAATTTATTTTGATAAAACATTTTTAAGTTACAATTCCAGGAGTTCTTCTGTGATCCCTCTTTGAGTTTTAGGGCATATATTTGGAAAAGTGGACACAGTCCCCAGGTTATAGCATTTTTTTAGTAAGATCATTGCTGAAGATGATACCATGTATTTTTAAAACAAAAAATGATTGTTTGCTGCAGTATCCTGTTAGAAGTGTGGCTCAGCTGTCTCTTTTCTGTACCTTCTTCCTCCTTAAGTTATTTTCAGAATCATTGTTTCTGAGAAGGATTGTGCTTATTTTACTTGTCCTAGATATTTGACCTGGCATTTAGCTGTACTATGTCATGTATGCAAAAGAGCTCAATTTTCCAAAGTATCCTGAACAATCTATCTTGGGTGTCCTATTACTCAAAACTTTGTTTCGTCTGACAGTTTTTTCAACACTTCTTTCCTAATTAAAAAGGATCTTTAATAGCATTGATCCCAGAGTAGAGAAATGATCAGATTCCTGGGGAATAAACTCTACATATTTAGGTTCATTATGCAATTCAAGGTGGTGTAATCAAGTTTTTCTGCATAGGGATACCATGGGAACACTGGTCATGATTATTAGTGAAATCCGTGAAAACCACGGCTCAAGGTTACTCTTATCTAAAGAGTTTTAAGTACACACAAGGTTGACTTAATAGTCTATGACTAAAACAATGCCTTTATAACCTTGAGACTTAATGCTTGAATTTTGTTTGTATTTAATCTGTATAAACTGTTTCTTCAGCTTAATGGAGCTGGCAAGCTGAGTGTGTTTTAATGGTATTGATATAGCTATTGACTTGTGATAAACTTGTTTTACAAGAATAGGAATATATAAATAGTAGATCGAAAAGATCCTGATTAAATTTGTAGGCATTTGTCATTTTCTTGTTTTTAGTATTACGCAGCTGAAAACTTAAATCAAGAATATGCTTGTTGGACTTGCTCTGAAGTCAGAATCTCATTCTCAAGGGCGCTGTCCATGGCAATGTGTTTGAAAGAGCCTTTTGGCATCAAGTAGTCGCTAGAAGCTTGGTAGTTCATTGCCTCAACCTATTTTTCAGCTTCATTTGAAACTTTCTTCCTGTTGTTGCTTGAATTTCTTTTCAGCTCTTCTACGTAACTGTGGGATACAGCTTGCTTGAAAAATGTTGGGGGAATTAACTTTTTGGTTTGTGTAAGAGTGGATTGATGAGATTATTGCGATCCTTTGTTTCTTACTGGCTTGTGAAGCTATTAAGAAGGAAAAAAAAGCAAGAATAGTTGCTTTTTGTAATTCTATAAGAAATACTTTGTTATTGAAACAATTTAATTTGAATAAATATTTAGTTTACTGATGGCTGAAGATAAAGTGAGTTATTCTAGTAGGTAACAAGGGAAAATAAGAGCCTTTTTTTGTTGATAGGACAGTCTTAGTGTATTGGGAAAAAATACAAATGTTTGTTGTACTTATTAAAATAACACTTTGACTGTTTAATGAAGTATGGAACCTTGACCTTTGTAGAAGATGACCTGTTGTTACGTGATGTGTTGAACCTCATCAGGTTTCAGTGCAGGTGGTTATTTGGCAGGAATTGTGACTTCACTTTTAGTGAATACTTAATCTTTCATATATGTCATGTAGAGGTAATTATGCATATGTTGTAATCACCTTGGTCACTTGAATATTGCAAAATATAACTTTTGTTCTAGTGGTAGGCTAAATTATTTATAAAGCTAGAAAAAACAAATGGTAGAGACTGTAGGATTGTAGGTTACTGGAAAACTGTCCCTTGAGAGCTTAGAAGATAAGAAAAATAGCGTGTGAATGTGCTTGCTGAATATAGACTCTTTTAATATAGAGAATATTGAGGGTGTGCGGAAACAAACGAACACCCCCCCCCATCCACAGAAAAAAAAAAAAGTGTCTAGTACTGGTGGTGAAAAAAAAGTCCCCACATCCAAACACTGGTCCAAATGAGCAGCACATTGTTAGTGACACTGAGGATGTCTTACACTGAAACATTTCACAGGGGAATAAAAAATTGTACTTGTTACTTCCTGGGTGGTACTAACATTGTATATACTTACAGAAATTGCTCCACTTATGCAAAAATGCATGAAGGTGATAAATAGCACTCTATGTACCAGCTTTCCTCTGAAGTGTTTTATGAAAGGTCACTTGAGAATATGTAGTTGAACCTTAAGGGAGCTTGACTTGAAATGCACTTGAGGAATGAGAGTATCGGTTCTGGCAGAAATCCTATGAAGAAGCAGGGACTAATGTGGCAGAGGACAAGGTAAAAGGTGTTCAGGAGCAAACCCCATTAAAATGAATTTGGTTAAGTTTGGCAATACCAACAGTATAATATAAGGATCCTGTAATGGTAAATGTGCTGTTGTACTCAAAGTGGTGAGAGGAGTGTTGTATAAACATAGTAAACGCAGGACAGTATCTGGCTTCTTTGATCTGGAGTTGCCTCCGTGAATAGGGGAGTAAGTGGAAGCCAGAGGTGTGAATGAAGTAAAATTTATTTTTATTCTTAAAGAGGTGATCTTCTTTTAGTTTTCTCTGCAGAAACTAGATTAACAGCAATGCTGAGAAATAAATGTGGTAACTTTAAACAAGAAATGAGTGGGATTAATTCAGAAGACTGATAACTTTGTCAGCCTGTGTTTAAAACATGGGAGAAC